AGAAGCAAGCATTTCTCCTTGCCAAGCTCTATTAGCAGGCCCAGTGGATATTAGGAGAATAACTGGATGTGAAGCTCGGTTGGACCCGGGTTGTTGGCGTCCGGGGTCCATCATAGCAGCTGTGACCGAGGAATAGGATTTACAGAGCGCCTGCCAAGTGGCATGAAACTGGTGGAGAAAAGAGGAGAAAGATCTGGAGGGGCAAACCCTAAAAGTGGAATGGGATTTACATGGGGGGAGGGTTTGGTCTGGGTGAGGCTAATGAGTGTTGTCCCATGCTTCCAGCTAATGGAAAAGTAAATTAGGCAGTCCATCTGTCAGGCTGCTCTCTGCCCGATCTCAGCAGGGTTTTCATGGGAGACTTGGAGACGAGATTTGGCCCGAACTCACTCTGGAGCTCTGTAGTCTGTTTTCAAAGTCTTTCCTCCTCTGAGATGCCCTGCATCCATATGTGCAAATGTGTGTGTGTGTGTGAGCACAAGCCGGGCTTGATTAAGTGTATATGGGTAAAGAAGAGGGCCAGCAGGGGCTTAAATCCAGCCTTTCTCTCTGCCTGCGGGAGCCCTGACAAGCGAGTGAGAACTGGAGGTGGGAATTTCACAGAGCAGCCGCTGAACTATAACAAACTGTGGAGTGTTAAAAAGGCCGCAGCCACAATCTCGCCACAAACGCCAAGAGACGTCTACCAGCATTAGAAGAGCCTTGTCGAACCATGAATGGTCTTACTGTAATGAAACCAAGTGGCACCAGTGCAAGTGTTTTATAGACCACTATGAAGCCAACCAGTTTACTCTTTACTGGGGGGCAGGGGATAATCAGTGGACTGTTGCAGCAAGGGACAGTAATTTCCCCTCCGTCTCCGTCCACACAGACTCTAATCTGTTGTTGAGCTCCTCTGTAACGCCTCTCTCCAATCTCAAGTCAGGTCACGGTCTCCGGCTAATTACGGTTTAGCTGAATTTGTCCGGCTTTTATGTCAATCAATAGCGGTAATGCATAGATGTTAAATGACCGCATGGGCAAAGTACAGAAGTAAATGGCTTCTGGTTGCTTGGTTGTTGTGGATGTTCCCAACTTACTTCCTGTAACCCGATAACCCCCGGGCCTGTCTTCAACCAGCGCTCTGCTGAATTATTCATGTGACACCGCAGACCTCTGTCTGACACACGCCTTCGTGTTTGTGTGCAAACAGTGACTTTGCATGCGTGGACGCAGAGGCTCAATGCACGACATGCAACAGTCTGTGTTCATGACAACACACACGCTCACAGGCTACTGCTTATCACAGAGCAAAGTCGGCACTGTTATGTCAACTAATAGTGTTAATAGCAACAGAATGTGTAATTGCACAGGAAGGAAGTGGTTGTGCTGTAGGAAAGGCATGTGAAGTGCAACAGAATATATTCCTGTTAACAGCAGGTAAAAAAGATGTGGCTGAAAGAGGAACCATATAAAAGTAGAAGTAATATCGAGATACGGCCAAACATATTTTAAGATTAAAGAAAGTACAACACATATTGTTTATACTTTCTTAGATACTTTTGTATCTAAGTTCATTCTTGACAATGGGAAACAGCAGTTGAGAAAAACAATCTCACCACAGTATCCATTTAGTGGCTGTTCTGGGGCTTTCGATTATATCACATGATCGTTATCAGAATCTATTTTTGAACCTCAGCTTTAAAAACCACCATGAACAGGAATAAAGTGCTGAGGGGAAAAAGGAAATGTGAACATCTATAATTCTATGATAACCAGGCAAACTCGGTCTGCTGATGAAGATTGTGTGATATAACTGAAAGCTCCAGAACAGCCACTAAATGGACCTGGTGGTGAGGTTTTTTGTTGTTTCCCTACTCTGACGAGACAGAACGCAACAGAGGAGCTGCTCTGCAGAACATATGTGCACTATAATGTACTGTATATGTATTTCAAAGATGATAAAAATAGATGTGACAGCAGCTCCAAACAGCTACATCAACTCTTATGAGTGCGGCTTCTCCAGTCATCACTTAGAGACGTCTGTGCTAAATAAAAACACGGTGTGTACTAAAACCTGCGTGTATCAGTGTATCACGGAGCCAAACCAGTTTAACAGTTTTTCGCTAACCGTGCAGAGACCATATGTTTCTCCCTGCAGGCTCGCGCCCGCTTTAGCTCCAGACTTTTGTTCTTGGTTTAACCTTGCCCTAAAGGTTATCTAAGTGTTTTAGTTGAATTGCAAATACCGGTTTAGGTAGTGCGATATCCTGTCTCAGTGGGCACACTGGCACCAGATGGTCTGTGTGTGTCTAGATATGCCTGTAGTTACTGACTTTAGTCTGGCACCTTTTTCCTGTTTCTTTTTTGCCTATTAGAAACAATCTGTTTGTGTGAAGTTCTTTTAAAAACCAACTTTGCTGTTGTGACTCACATACAGCAGACACACTTTTCTCCTGACCCCCCAACCTGACATCAAATCCCACGCTCATTTGTTAAAGCTGCCGTGGGAAACTTTTTTTTTTTTAGCATTTTTTAAAAATCCCACTTAATAACATTCTCATTTGGTCCTGGGATATATCCATAAATCAACTTGGACTCATTGCTGGTAAGAAAACTAGGTCTGCACGTGCTCCGGAGGCACACGGTGTCTCCTTGCTTTCAGAAAAGCAGTGATACCTAAATTGAAGCACTTCTGAAACTAGTCTCATTAACGTGGTAAGAGAAGCAGGAATACAGTTCCCAACAACACCAGAATATGTACATTAACGATCTCTGTTGAAACACAGTGAGTTAAAACTTAAGCCTAAACTGCTGCTCCAGACTTTGCAACGAGGGATTATGAAGAAAACATTCTCCTGTCGGATTGTAGACGATTTGTATTGGACTTAAACAGCAGAGGCCAATTTTGCATGCGACTTTCTCACACATCAGTAACTTTTGAACCAATATTCTGTAAATTAACCCTTGTACATCAACAGATGCATTTATTTTTTGTGCCCCAAGGTCGGCTTTTTCAACTTTTCGCCAGCAGCGGGGACTACTCCCCGGTGGCTGATGGGCCTTATGCTTCAGGTTGTGCTGCCTCTCGCCTCTGTCGGCTCCCACGGCTCTTCTCCATCTCACTTCTGACACCAATGTAATGCAGGCTAGCTTAAGGAAGGAGAAGCCGGGGACAGAAGTTGCCTTTCTGTGTGCTCCCTGCAGCTGCTTTGATTAGAAAAACACACACGCTGAACACACAACACAATCCCTGCCAATAGCCCTGAACTAAATAAGCTCAGAGGGGAAAATGGGGACCCCACCGAGCGTCTCTCTGCCCCAACACTACAATATGTTTATTACTGCGATCATAGTTAAAGGTGGTCCTCCTTGTGCCCGTGTGGGTCTCTCCATGTACTCTGGCTTCCTCCCACAGGCCAAAGTCGTGCAGGTTAGACTGATTTTGTATTTTGCTCAGTTCCCGTCCAGCAGGCCACATGTTTTTAGGTCTTTTCAGCTTGATTTTCTAGTTTAAAGCATTTGCAATTTTAATAGTTTTTATGTCTCTTTTTAACACTAATCCTGTTTTTAGAATACCAATTCCTTTCTTAGGCTCCATCGGTGAAATTTTGCCTACTTTCTTTTTTACGCTGTATTTGTGGATGTTCTTCTAACATAAGACGCCCCAAACGCCAGGACATTCAAACTTACGGCCTTTGGTAACTGATGTGATTCTGATGTGTCGCTGGTGACTGACTGGGAACCAGTTAGCATAGAAGACTGACATGCAAACACCTCAGGAGAGTCAGACACTGATTCCACGACAAAGTCCTAAAATAATTTCTTTTACATGAATATATTCATTTTCAAACAAGCATATATATGTTGAAATATTCTGTAAAGTCCAAAAATGTCCCCCTCTAACAACAAGGCGCGGTGCCTTGTTGACTCATGACCCCAGATAACGATAACAGTCACTTTATTTCCACTCTCTACGAGGAGACGGGCACATAATCATCAGTGATCTCAATCGTTAAGCTGAGTAATCTACATATGTTACTGTGATTATACTAAGAGCATTATTACATGAATCAAATGTGGTATTTACATGGACACTGCCTTATTAGTCTCAGTCACATCAGAACAATAATTCTGCTGGATGTGCAAATGTAGCCAGTGATGGAGGATGGGTGATGGGTGGTGGATGATCTTGCCTTCTTTCCATTCGCCATGATACTCCTCACCATTGGAGTAGGTGAAGGATCCTCGTGTCAGGGTCATGGGTCCTGCTGGCACACACAACAATACCACACAAAAACCATCATCAGGACCTAGAGCCTTTCACCTGTGGCTCTGACATTCTGACAACCACACACAGAAATGACAAACTAAAAATGTATGTACATTTCATATAAACCAGGCCTTTTTCAGGCATCAAGTAACAAGTTATCTTCCATCTTTTCTGCAGCAGTGGAAGTAAATGAAACCTTGACAAGTGATGCAAACAATTCTTACAGGTTACAACTTCTGTTGATGGCCTACAACAACATATTCTGTCTGTACGAAGGCAGTGTTGGAAATTACTGTTACTACAGCATCTGAAGCATCATCTGGAAGAAGGCCATGAACAAAGGAAGTCAGAGCTTTTCAGGGTTTCATCCTACAGCAGGACAGTGAGCCAAAATAAACACCTCCAGGCTGTGGAGAAGGAAAGGACAAAGACGGCAGAACAGCAGCGAAGGGTCCAGACTTTCTATATGAAGAGTGAAAGCAAAGCAATGTACAGGTGCAACACATCTGTGGGAACTTCTCTAGCAGTGCTGTCTGTCCCACCAGCTGTAGGAGGAACAACACAGGTGTGTTCACCTGTTGACTTACACATGGAGGTGATCTCAAACGTTCGACCAGTAATGTGGGTATGACCCATAACCCCATACCTAGGAAACAATGGGTGCCAGTTTTTTGACACACGTCGTTCACTGCTGCTGTGTGTTACAGTGTTTCCAGTGTATGTTCAAAATATATAATAATATGGGTCCACATACCTTTGAGTGTAATACACCTGGGCAGGTAAGCTAGACAGAATGTACATCTTTGGGGGCCCCCTACTGCTTTATTCATTTACATATTTGCGGTAAAATAACCCCTGTTGTCTCCTGTCTGTTTATCGTAGCGGTTATGACAGTTTTCATGTTCTTTTTTGTTAAACAGCTGTTTGTTGTGCTGCTCTGAGGTGCATGTTTTGAATCAGAGGACACAAGGAGCATCAGAGACACACTTCAACTTCACACTAAGAAGGAAGGCATCAAGGCCCGTTTATCAGGCTGGGTATTTGCTCAGATGCCGTCAGGTGCACTGATAAGACGGGAGGAGTGGTTCCTCCATCTAATGTTGCCACAGTAACGGCGCCCCGGTGCCTTTCATCCTGCCGGCATGACGCTGCTCCGTAACACATACGTACACACACCGAGCAGGCCTGGACAAATAAAATAACGATTTACCTGTTTTATTAAAGAGCAACTCGATCCTACATCACTGTAAACAAAGCGGCAGTTGAGGATTTCTGCTCTTCCCAGCGACTAGTTATCCTTTTCCGTGGATGCTGGTTTCCTGGCAGAGCTGCCTCAGCGTCTTTGCAAAGTGCCGCGCTGTGATTGGCTGTTTATCTGCCACATGGAGTCAAGGCGTTTTCTTATTGGCTGATCCTACCTGCTGGCCAGCCCTCCAAGGGACCCATCTTTGTCGAGGGCAACGGGTTCATGGTCTTAATTAGCCGGAGTGCTTCTCCCTTACTGCGTGTGCCCTTGTGTTTTTATGCGTTGTCCATCGTCTCTGTAGCGAGACCCCCCCCCCCGTTTTTGGGGTTCGTCCCTTTTTTATGGAACTTGATTTATTGTACTCCTTATGTGTTGAGGGTTTGTCAAATAAGATGATATAAATTGAAAGGCAATAAGGATTTAATTCAATAAAAATCTAAGAATAATAAAAAAGAAAGCAAAACAAAAAAGGTGACCTAAACTAGAACCTGGATGTATTACTGTCTTCCTGGAGTTTTTTCAGAAACAGTTGAATGTGGAGCTGAATTGGATGCAAAGCAAACATTTTTTATGAAGCAGACAAAGTAAAGGGTTTCATACACTCGTGAAAAGACAACAGGTGTATGACTGTTCTTCAGAAGTTAAGTATGTTCAGTGTTATTACTGACTAAATTTGTTGATATTAAACTTGATAATGCTTCAGACTCATTTGCATGGAAACAATTTCCAGAGGACTCTCACATGCTCAGGTGTTTTTATGGTGGTGTTTTCTTTGTTTTATTGTGTTGATGTTTCAGATCTTCACTGTTTTGCATGTGTTTTGCTGCTGTGGACATTTGTATTTCACACCTGGCTGTGAACAGACATGTGGGGTGGAGTTATTCAGCTGATTGTGTTCTTTTTGCCCCTGACACATGGCAGGGCCTCTGTTACCACTGTTTGAGCTTGGGGAGTTTAAACTCACACACATTTCAAGCAGATTCCCGTAGCTTTGCACCAGAATTTGGTATTTTTCCTGGCAGCATGGAGAAGTTGCTGGGAAAGTATTAAGATTTCCATGTTGAGAAATGATAACAGTTACAGGTTTGTAATTTCCTGACAATTTCTTAGGATTGTTGCTAGAAAGAACAACAGGTATGTCCCCTCCGGCTGTTGTGCAAAAGTTTCTTTTAGTTAGTGTGTTTATATATGGGTTAATTGTTGGTTACTGGTAGAATATTCATTTAAATAAATACAATGTATGAGAAATTCAAATCATTACATTTTTCTGTATTTTGGGATGGGGAAAGTAGATTTGATCTTACTAAAATCCAGAACATTCTGTATCTTTGGACAGAGGGGTTTGACTAGTTGAAGGTTTAATAATTTGACTAAGGCCATTCAGTAACAACAGACAAGCTAATTAGCCCAAATATATTAATGCATATTATCCGTTTCCTGGTGGAAGCACAGTGATTTTTCAGGCAGCCTCACGTTGTTTACGGTCACACTGTACAACTGTATGCTCTTTTATTATCACAACAGTATTTTATATTTTATAAGTATGTTATTTATTATGTTTTATGTAACTTTTACTATCATTAAAGAGTCTGATTTCCATAAAGACCTCCATGGTCCATGCTACCGCGTTGACAGCTGCTCTCTTAACACACCTATCAAAATTAAACAATGTCTTGTCTTTAAATTCCCGGTGCACCTGCGCCCTTTGACACGCACAGCTTCAAGTCATGGCAAACTCGAACCAGGGGCGCCATGTGCTGTGCCATGCACACCATTAAAACAGACAAACATCCCATTAAACGTCCAGTGACAGCACGTCCTCGCGCAGAGGAGGAGGAGTGGAGGAGGGGGAGCCCTTGGTGGGAGGGACAAATGATGGCTATAGAAAGGGGGATGCTGCAGCCCCGTCCCCCTCATACCTCACTCCACCCAGCCCTAGAATAAAATCCACCGGTGACGTGCGCGCAGGGAAGCACCCAGCACTATGTGCGCGCCCACGGGAGGGGCCGATAGAAAATGGCGAGTCTGTGCAAGAGGCAGCAATGCACGATAGAGAGGCGCGGCTTTCGGCAGGAACTTGACTCTTGGAGGCACAAACTCATTCACTGTGTAGGTAAGCTCATTTGGAATTGTGTGTGTGCGTGTGAGTGGCGTGCCGGAGTGTGCCGGTTACTGCGTGTTTGCCTTTGGTTTTGTGGAGTGTAAAGAGCAGAGAGCCGGGGCAGTAATGTCCAGAGGAAAACCTATAGGTTTCCATGAAGCTGTCATTTTGGTTACGCACGGTTTTCTGGCGCTGGCCGCCTCCCTCTGGACATACCCAAAAATATTCTGCCCTAAGTTGTTGAGGTCATATCGGCCATGTTGTCAGATGTTTCACCTGCGGGTTTGAGTTCGGGACCTGTTGGCTGTGGGCTTATTAAAGGGTTGGGGGCTTTGGAGTCGCGGGTCCTTTTTTTTATACATTATTCCATAGGTGTTTATTTATTGTAAGCAGGACACGTCACGTGTGCAGTTGGAGCTGCGCCTCAGCCAATCAGCTTCCCTGCTACTGGCCGGTCCGTGCCCGCGTGCGCGCCACCGGGTTGAGTATTTGGTGTGGGGGGGAGGGAAATGCGCGCTCTCGGTGTCCAAACCTGACGCCCCCCCCACTGCCCTGGAAATCAGCGTTTGGGAGCGCGCATTGCTGCATTGGGAAAATGTCAGTGAATAATTTTGTGTTTTGGGGGAAGGTGCAGCAGGGGGTCTGCAGGGAGAAAAGCCTCAGTGCTCGCCTGTGAGCCGCGCTTGGTACTTGTTGAAACGCCGCTTTGGGTTGCGGAGGGGAACTCTGCAGCTGAGATGTGTCCTGCAGTTTGCATTAAGATGCACATCTGGTGTGTTTAATGTTGGAGCAGGACAACAGCTGTTACTGAGGGGACAGTTAACAGGCGCGGCCCTGATGTGTCAGTTTTTGTCTTGATGGGAAAACTGACACTCAGTTCTTATCCTTTGCTTTCACTTTAGTTCATGTTGACATATTTAAGATTTTCTCATCCATTCATCCTCCCCCTCCTTCCTCCAATCCTCATTTCTGGTGCATTTCTTACTCTTAATCCGGTTACATCGACCTCTTCCGATGTCAGGGCAAGATTATCATCCACTCTTCCCTCTGGTCTCCTGAACTCTCCAGGCTTTTCTCAGTGGTTTAACGCACCGCAGCAGAGTTGGGATGTTGCAGCTTCACTTGTGGGTTTCTTTTAAATTCTGGTCATGTTTCCGTGCGCCTTCACCTGTCACCAGTTTGGGCTGGTGGGACCTTTTTAGCAAGACAACCTCCTAATGAGGGGATGTAGTGGGAAATTAAAAGGCTGTAATCTCAGATGTTGAGTTTGTGTGATCAACATAAAGTCATAAGTAAACATAATGAGTCTAAACAAAATCCAACAAAAGGCCTTTTCTCTGATGTGTGATGTGAGACCTTGCTCTGAAATTTCAACATGAAAAGGTACATTGTCTCAAAAGTGAGTTTTAACCTATTTTCCGGCTCTACACACTAAAGCTGGTCCCTCCTCCTGCTCCCCACCCTGCCTCCTCCTGCTCCCCCACACAGCAGCCTGATTAGTGCTGTTTTAATGATTAAGTGTGTCACTGGGTTTGAGCTAAAAGCAGCAGAGGAGGATGTTGGTCCCTCCCTACAAGTGTAACGGTTCGGAGAGCTGCAGTTACCGCTAATGAAACGGAGCTTAATTTAAACCTGTGACAACCACTGGAAGGCTGGTTTTCAGAGATCTGAGACTATAAGTCCCTATAGGAATACTATAATGATGCTAAAGTCAATAGAGGTACCATAAGCATGATAAACACACTGAGCTCACTATTATGTGCTTTGAATACATTACCTGCATTATCACAGCGTTTCCACCGGGGAAACAAACTCCACAAAGCAGTGAGCTGACAGTCACTTTGGCTCGATATGCTCTACGTCTGTGTTGTGGCCCGTGTGTGTTAGCTCGGCATGTTTCTTCATTTCTGGTTCGCAGCAGCGGTTTTCTGCACTCAGACTGAAGTCTGACGTGTTGATTTGTTTCAAGGCTCATCAGCTCTGAAACTGTGATAAACCGGAACACTGTAAGAAATGTTTGCTGATCCCAGTGTAAATGTCTTATAGTTTCTCGATTCACCTGAAAAATTGTTCCTGATAAAATGTCAAACAGCCACAACTGACATTTTCAGTCCAAAACCCAAAGACACTGAATAAAGAAAAGCATCAGGCCTTAACAAATGAGATTTGAGCATTTGTTCTTAAAAAATGACTAAAGATGATCAGAGTAGACAGGAGGTAAATACTCTAGTTACTGATCAGTGACCTGAGCGTCGACACCTGAGAAGCTTCCAGACTCCAAAATAAGACACTGTAAGAAAAAAAAAACGGGTTTTTATTCTTCCACAGAAATGTTATTTGACATTTAAAGCCCTCTGTCATGAGTCATACCTTTGTTAGACCTGATGAGTGGTTTAATGAAGGTGGACGTCTTACAGTGCAGGTCACGGTGCCGTGCAGCTCGTTGACACGGCCAGCCTCATCTTTTTGCCATCTGTTGTACAGTAGGGCCTACAAACCGTAGAAAGGTTAACGTTATTAATTGGTAGCAATTACAGCCCAACTGCTGATTCGTTTGGCACATATTCTGGGGAAGGGAGTGCAGCTAATTTGATTGCTGAAAGGTTGTGGCAGCGCCGCAGAGAGACAGACTGTGAGGGGGGTGTGAGTCTGAGTGGCAGATTGCTTTTTTTTTTTTTTTACATCTCGTGTCAACGCTCCTCAGTGGCAGAGCTGCTCCAAACAGTAAGAACGGCACCGGCTGAGTTAGTTTCCAAGTGACCGAGCGACGCTGCCAGCGGTTGTATTATTGCAGCAGTGTGATGGGATCAGGTGTTTAATTCACTGGAATAGACACAAACAGAAAAAGCATGTTTATTTAAATGTCTTAAAACAAGTTCTAATGATATGTTGATAGAAGATAATTTACCCTTCTCTGTATCTCCTGTTCCTAAACCTTAATTGTAACCCTCTGCTGTCCTGTATCAGACCACGAGGCTGCTGTTTGGCAACAGGTCGAACTGTTTTCTGCCTGTAC